TGTCGTCCGCATAACACGTCAAGTCGGCGCCCGACGGGAGTTCACCTCTCAGCACCCAGTCGTAGCCGATGTTCCACAGGAGCGGTCCCAAGACCGATCCCTGCGGAACACCGCACGACATGACGCGCCGACCAGCGCCGTCACGTCCCCAATAGGTAACGCATCTCTCCTCAAGGTAAGCCCCTATTGTGCGGCGGAGGTAGGGAGGCACGCGATGGTAATTCAGCGCCTCCCGAATACAACTCCAGGGTAGGGTGTTGAAGGCGTTGGAGATGTCTAAGGACACCGCCAGCACCACCCCACCCCGGGATACTGTCTCCTCCGCCAGGGCCCTCACGCGCGTAATAGCGTCTATGGTAGAGCGCCCGCGACGAAAACCAAACTGGTTCTCGTCCAGGTCCGGCCCCTCTCTGCACAAGTGGCTGACGAGGCGATCTGCGATGATGCGCTCAAGAAGTTTGCCCGCCTCGTCGAGCAGTACTATGGGCCGGTACGCGGACGGTGAGTCCGCGGGGCGCCCCTCCTTCCTGAGCAGGACCAGCCTCCCCTCCTTCCACACACTGGGAAACTGACCCTCCTCGAGACATGCCGTGAAGAGCCCTCTCAGCTGGGGCTCTAGCTCCTTCAGAGCCAGGACGAGAGCTCGGCCAGGAACTCCGTCGGGTCCGGGCGCTGTGTTCTTAGCCCGGAGTCGCGACACGGCCGCTCTCGTCTCTGTTTGCGTCACCTCGGGGACATCGGTGCTCTCCTCTTCTGGAGAGTCTGTGGCTGAGGGCGAAGCCATCGCCGGGGGAACGTGTCCCACTCGCTCAGGGAAGAGAGCCGATACCACGGCCTCTAGCAACTGGGGTTGCATCGAAACCCTACGGTACCTCCTCGCACGTGCGCGCGGGGCCGCGGGAATCCAAATTCTTCCGCAGCCCCACACTAGTGTTGGCCCGGTCTGTCCGGGCCTCGTCTCCTGCACGGGGTAGCGAGGTGTTCAGCTACCCCCCTCCACAGCCTCCAACTCCACCTGCGTATCGGACCCCCCCGAGTCCGATACGCGGAGGCCATGGGGCCAGGAAAATCGAACGATTAATAGCGCCCGCTTTCCCGACCCCAGCGGCGGATCTGGTCTATGGCTCCGCCGCCAACCAAGATTCGGCTGCGGAGGGTAGGGAGAGCGGCGCCTCGCAATACCGACACTCCTCTCCCCCCGCAGCCCCACCACCACCGCATCAATTAACGTTGCGGCCCCGTCTGAGTCGCGGAGTATAGGGCGAGTGGCGCATCGCCATACCAACACTCCTCTTCCTCCGCGACTCCACCTCGGCTGCAGCGGTAGAGGGTGCGAACTCCCCTCTCACCGCAGCCCACCAACACTCATCCGAAGTGGGCTCCCCAAGCCCACTCGGAGTGGCCACCTCGGGCCGGCCCTACACCTCGGGCCAGCCAAGGGGTTCCTCTTTGTTCACCGTGGTTGACCAAGCCACGGCTACTAGGCCCCCCCGCCACGACAAGGCGGGAACCCGTTCGGGGGGGAACCTAACCTAACCTTTTTTTTTTTTTACATGGTGAAATGCCTACGCATACCCGCCTCGCGGGGGCAAGGACGGGTTATGTCGGACTCGCACCGAATAAAACCCCATGGTGTTCCAACCTCGTCGCATATTGGCAGGGCCACGGGAACGCTTTCGCACACTTCCGCGGCCCCACCTGCGCTGGCCGCCCCATGGCGGCCCCTCCTCGGGAGAGGACCACTCCTCCCCCATCTCCCTCTCAGGTAAGGCGCACCAGAACACATGGCGCGCCCTCCTCCTCGGCCTCCAATTGCACATGCGCAACGGACGTCCCCGTGTCCGATGCGCGAAGGCCATGGGGCCAGGAAAAACTAGCACTCAGAAGCACCAGCCTTCATGACCCCAGCGGCGGATCTGGTCTATGGCTCCGCCGCCAACCAAGATTCGGCTGCGGAGTGTAGGGAGAGCGGCGCCTCGCAATACCGACACTCCTCTCCCTCCGCAGCCCCACCACCACCGCATCACTCAACGGTGCGGCCCCGTCTGAGTCGCGGAGGATAGGGCGAGTGGCGCATCGCCATACCAGCACGCAAACCTAACCTAACCTAACCGAACCTTTTTTTTTTTTTTTACACGGGGAAATGCCTACGCCTCGCGGGGGCAAGGAAGGGTTATGTCGGACTCGCACCGACTAAAACCCCATGGTGTTCCACCCTCGTCGCATATTGGCAGGGCCACGGGAACGCTTTCGCACACATCCGCGGCCCCACCTGCGCTGGCTGCCCCATGGCTGCCCCTCCTCGGGAGAGGACTACTCCTCCCTCATCTCCCTCTCAGATAAGGCGCACCAGAACACATGGCGCGCCCTCCTCCTCGGCCTCAAATTTCACATGCGCAACGGACGCCCCCGCGTCCGATGCGCGAAGGCCATGGGGCCAGGAAAAACTAGCACTCAGAAGCACCAGCCTTCCCGACCTCAGCGGCGGATCTGGTCTATGGCTCCGCCGCCAACCAAGATTCGGCTGCGGAGGGTAGGGAGAGCGGCGCCTCGCAATACCGACACTCCTCTCCCCCCGCAGCCCCACCACCACCGCATCAATCAACGGTGCGGCCCCGTCTGAGTCGCGGAGGATAGGGCGAGTGGCGCATCGCCATACCAACACTCCTCTTCATCCGCGACTCCACCTCGGCTGCAGCGGTAGAGGGTGCGGACTCCCCTCTCACCGCAGCCCCCCGACACACATCCGAAGTGGGCTCGCCAAGCCCACTCGGAGCGGCCACCTCGGGCCGGCCCTACACCACGGGCCAGCCAAGGGGTTCCTCTTTGTTCACCGTGGTTGACCAAGCCACGGCTTCTAAGCCCCCCCGCCACGACAAGGCGGGAACCCGTTCGGGGGGGAACCTAACCTAACCTAACCTTTTTTTTTTTTTTTTACATGGGGAAATGCCTACGCATACCCGCCTCGCGGGGGCAAGGACGGGTTATGTCGGACTCGCACCGACTAAAACCCCATGGTGTTCCACCCTCGTCGCATATTGGCAGGGCCACGGGAACGCTTTCGCACACTTCCGCGGCCCCACCTGCGCCGGCCACCCCATGGCGGCCCCTCCTCGGGAGAGGACCACTCCTCCCCCATCTCCTTCTCCGGTAAGGCGCACCAGAACACATGGCGCGCCCTCCTCCTCGGCCTCCAATTTCATATGCGCAACAGACGCCCCCGTGTCCGATGCGCGAAGGCCATGGGGCCAGGAAAAACTAGCACTAAGAAGAAGCACCAGCCTTCCCGACCCCAGCGGCGGATCTGGTCTATGGCTCCGCCGCCAACCAAGATTCGGCTGCGGAGGGTAGGGAGAGAGCGGCGCCTCGCAATACCGACACTCCTCTCCCCCCGCAACCCCACCACCACCGCATCATTCAACGGTGCGGCCCCGTCTGAGTCGCGGAGGATAGGGCGAGTGGCGCATCGCCATACCAACACTCCTCTTCCTCCGCGACTCCACCTCGGCTGCAGCGGTAGAGGGTTGCGGACTCCCCTCTCACCACAGCCCCCCGACACACATCCGAAGTGGGCTTCCCAAGCCCACTCGGATTGGCCACCTCGGGCCGGCCCTACACCTCGGGCCAGCCAAGGGGTTCCTCTTCGTTCACCGTGGTTGACCAAGCCACGGCTACTAAGCCCCCCCGCCACGACAAGGCGGGAACCCGTTCGGGGGGGGGGGGGGAACCTAACCAAAATAGAACTTTGGTTATAACTTTGCTAAAAATTAACCTTTTTCATTCAAATCTTTTCGTCTTAATTTTATATCTTGTACTGCATATAACGTAAAATACAATTATAATGGCGCCTGGTAATGGTGATTTGCCGATTTTGCCCGCAACAGCAGAAGAAATCACTAATGTTTCTAAGTATACGGAAGTTGTTAATAAATTGGTAGCATGCATTGTGAACGCTGTCAATGACGGTAGGAGTGTCACGACAGCCAATAAGCGTCTTATCACAGTTGCATCCGAAGAAATAAGGAGAGCAAACTTGGTTCTTACTAATATTACATCCACGCTGACTAGTCCCGCAGAGGAACTCAAAAATGATATTATTAGTTGTGTTCGTGAAGAAATGGCTAATTTCAAGAACTCAGTTAGCAGCACTAATATGGGGCGACCATCTTACGCCCAAGTTGCTTCATCAAATGCGATTCAATCACCAAAGATAAACAACCACAGTGCTACTCTACCTGCAACCAAACCAGCGATAATCATCACCCCCAAAACAGACGTAAAAAATAAGCAGGAAGTGATTGACGTTTGGCGCAAAAGTATCAGCTTTCGTACTACCAGATATGCACCGGCTCGCGTTCAAACTGTGTCACACAATAAATTAAGGGTCGAGTTTGATAACGAACAGCAGCGTGACGAAACTCTAACACGTTTATTGAATTCTGAGGTAGTGACAGCTGAACCCGCACGAAAACTTAGGCCTATGATAATTCTGAAAGGAATTTCTATTGACACACCATCTGAAGAATTAGTGGATATTATTAAAATGCAAAATTCTGAACTGTCTGATACCATTGCGGCACAGGATGATTTAAAATTTTGCTTTAAACGCACTAACAGGAACCCAAACCTATACAATGCAGTCTTTCGATCTCAACCCACAGTTTGGAGAAAAATCATTAGCATGAGTAAATTATCCATCGATCATCAGCGTATACACGTTGAGGAATTTTCACCATTTATGCAATGTCATAATTGTTACCAGTTTGGACACACAAAGAATAAATGCACCTCGGAAAACACTGCATGTGGTCACTGTGCCGCAACCACACACAAATCTGATAATTGTCCTAAAAAAGATAACCCGGACTGCGCTCAGTGTATTAACTGTGTCGCACATAATACCAAGTTCAACACAAAAATTGATACCAAACATAAGGCTATATCCACTTATTGCCTCAGACTGCGAGCCATAAAAGAAAGAATCATAAACCGTATAGATTATGGGTCAAGTCAATAAACTCGAAGTATTACAGTGTAACTTAGATAAGTCAAAGAACAGTCAACATGAATTTATTCTCTCTTTTATGGCCGGCCAATTCCAGATAGCTTTGGTGTCAGAACCCTATGTTGGATCTGGCAACATTGTTAAATCCATCCCTGGTATCAACATATTCCAGTTTTCCAATGGTAACAGGGTTAAGGCGTGCATAATGACAAAATCTAGTTGTGGTTCCGTACTGGGTCTATCCCAATTTTCGTCAGCGAATCTTAGCGCGGTTCAATTAAATATTGGGGGCTGTAAACTATACATAGCATCTGTTTATATCGAACCTAATAGTGACGATCACAATACATTGCAACGGTTAGACAACTTTTTGAAAATGACCAGTAACTGCCATCAGCTTGTTGGAGGCGATTTTAACGGTTGGCACCCTATCTGGGGTAGCGACCGGGCAAACTCGCGGGGAAATGAAGTTGTTGACATCGTTTATGGCAATGACATGTTTTTGTGTAATAGAGGTCATACTCCTACTTTCGAGACAGTATCTTATGGGCGACTGCGCAGCTCTTATATTGATCTTACACTTGCTTCTAGCTCTATATATGACCGGATTACAAACTGGAAAGTGGATCCTTCAATCTGTTTGTCTTCTGAACACAGGGCGGTGATGTTCTCTGTCACTACTCATGGTGAAAGGAGAAAAACCAACAAAACAACCAGTACGTTCAGATACAATACGAATAATATAAAATGGGAAGAACTAAGGCCTTCCTTTGAAGCCAAAATTAAGGAACATGTACCACAAAATGTTATGGTTGAACAGATGCAACCAAATGAACTTGAAAATTACATAATCTCAGTTACATCGGCAATTAAAAAAACATGTGATGAGCTACTCCCAAGGTCAACTGGTCGAAAATACCGTTGCCCTTGGTGGACAGATGAACTTGAATGTCTCAAAAACAAGTTATACGTAACCATCATAACATACAAAAACTGCGCCGACAAAATAAACCACTTGAAGATGCCCTATTGGAAAAAGAACGCTTAAAAACTGCTTACTCAAAAACCTTCCGTGAAACTTCCAGGCGAAACTTCAGAGACTTTTGTGAAAGGCAAGGGAAGGAGGATGTATGGTCCGTTACAAACAGAATTATTAAATCAAGCCCACCTGCGCTACCACCAGCAACACTAAAGAAAAGCGATGGTTCATACACCACCACCAGTCTGGAAACTGCCCAAGCTCTTCTTGATAAATTTTTCCCCGATGATGACCTAAATGATACAACAATTCAAGAAAATGCCCGAAATCTAGCAATTATCTCACCTTCTCTCCAGATGAACCCCCTTTTACCTACGAAGAAATTCTCAGTAGCTTAAATAGTATGAATCCGAAAAAAGCACCCGGCATGGACCATCTTACTTCTGATATTTGCTTATTATTTGTCAAAAGCTCCCAGATCTCACCACTTCAGTAATTAACCGTTGTTTCAAACTCAGATATTTTCCAGAAATTTGGAATAAATCTTTCATTAAAATTCTCCCTAAGCCTCACAAGGATGACTACCTAAATATCTCTTCCTTCCGACCCATAGGTCTGATTAATGTTTTTGGAAAACTGTTTGAAAAACTTGTTATACGAAGATTAACATACTTCATGCACCAGAACGATCTTTTAATTCAGCACAGTTCGGTTTTAAAGAACAAACCTCTACCGTCAATGCATTAACCAATATAATAGACACAATCAACCATGCCATAGCCAATAAAGAACAGGTACTCGCAGTTTTATTAGATATCCAAGCGGCCTTTGATTGCGCCTGGTGGCCGGCAATATACCGCCGACTACATAAAATTAAATGCCCCCGTAATATTTATTCTATCCTGCGTAGCTACTTTCAAAATCGATCTGCAACTATCCATTTTGGAGACAGCACGGTTAGTAAAACTCTGACGAGAGGTTGCGTCTAGGGTTCGGTCTGTGGCCCCTTTCTTTGGAATTTAATTGTGGATGAACTTCTTGACATAGACATGCCACCTGGAGTTACGATACAAGCATTTGCGGATGATATAGTCCTCCTTGTACACGCCAAATATAGTAATGATTTACAGCTTAACGCAAATAATGCTTTAAATATAATAACTAAATGGGGTCGCGAGATGAAACTTACTTTTGGAGTTGCCAAGACACAGGCCATCGTATTTACTTGCAAGGCTGCAAAATGCAAATATATGTCTGGTCATCAGGTGATGTTTTCCAGTGAGATTAAGCTTCTAGGTGTTTTAATAGACAAACAGCTAAAGTTCATCAAACATGTAGATTACATAGTCAACAAAGTCCGTAAACTATACACTAAGTTAATAATATTCGTCAAGCCCACTTGGGGTATTCATTCCAAAAATATAGAAATTATTTATAGACATGTGATTGAGCCAATAGTCTGTTATGCTGCCTCTATCTGGCAATCTGCAATCGGGTACAAGTGTGTGAAAGAGAAACTACTCTCTTTGCAACGAAACTTTGCCCTTAGAATTATCCGTGGTTTTAGAACCGTGAGTAGACATAGACATAGACATAGACATGTTTTATTAGCATCAATACACACACAAAATATACATTTAGAAATAATGAGACATAAAAACTTACAAGGTAGTTGAAAAACATAAATAAAAATAAAATAAATCTTAGCAAGAGTGAGTGATGTGATGCCAAAAGGATTCCGTCTCAGCATATGCTACCACAGATACTGCAGCAGCGCTGATTTTCAGCGGAGCCCTAATAAATATTGATTCCGTATTGCGCCCACGACTATATCGGTAATAACATAAACGAAAAATAATGAATCTACCATTCACTCAAAGTAAATATTTCCAAGTATATACAAAAGGCATTGTATATTATATTAAAATTAAACATACACATATACATACATATATACACACACGCATAAATACATATATATGCATATATATATACACATACACACATACATATACATATACATACATTAAATATAACTTAAAAAATACACATACGTAAATATATTTATACACACTCACACACAGAACATATGTATAATATATTTTATTATATATTATATACACATTAAACTATCCCTATGATATGTTTGCTAAATCATATCTATGAAATAACCTGCCACTACACGTGAAATAATGATTTTTGAGATTCTAAAAGGTGTATTTTTAATTTAGCTTTAAAACCGTTTACAGATTTAGTTTCCCGTATAGGTGGTGGTAAATTGTTCCAAAATTTAGTGGCCATGTATCTAAAACTGCCACGAAACGCGGCCGTTCGATGATATAAGGTTGCCAGTATCGGGGTAACCGTTCTGATGCTTCGACCATCTTCTGCTCTTCTCCATTTTAATTTTTGAAAGAGGTATTCCGGTCTTTCTGATTTTATGCATCCGAAAAGAAGCGTAGCTAAATGTAAATCTCGCCTCAATGACATCCTTAATATGTCCGATTTATTAAGATACGGATGTACATGATGATATCTAGGTATATGAAAGATGTACCTTGCACATGCGTTTTGGACCCTTTGTATTGACCTATTTGTTTTAGCAAATAACCTAGGACCATACACAGTATCTGCGTAACCAAGCCTTGAAAGTACGAGTGACTCACATAAGCGCAGGCGAACACTCTCACTGAGATAATCACGCACTTGGTACAGTACTTTGAGTCTATAAAAACAGTTGCGTGTTATTTCAAGTAGATGATTCTCAAAGCGAAGACCCTGGTCCATCAGCAATCCTAGATTACGAGTCTCACTTACACGTTCCACTGGTTTTCCACGAATGCTTATAACAAATTTCGTTTTCATTATAGAGTCGACCTGTCCCTTTGACCCTAACAGCATGAATTTGGATTTGCAGGGGTTAAGCATAAGTGTATTTGCTTCTGACCATAATGAGATGTGATGCAAATCCTCATTTATCTTTGCTACTGCACTTTCTACATCGCTAGGAAAAAATGGCAGATAAATCTGTATATCGTCAGCGTATAGGTGGAACTTGCAGTGCCTTATATGGCGACATACGTCCGCTGTATATAAAATAAAAATAAGTGGACCAAGTATAGAACCTTGAGGCACTCCCCTAGTTACACGGCATGGAGACGAGCGCAACTGAGTACCATTATCCTTGTTAATTGCTACTATCTGTGTCCGATTAGATAAATAGCTGTCGAACCATCGAACAGCGGGCAATTCAAAACCATAATATCTCATTTTGGATAGCAATAAGGGAATGTTTATGGCATCAAATGCCCGGGAAAAATCAAGTAAGGCCAGTAACGTGCCTTGTCCAATGTCTTGTGATGTCAAGATATTGTCAACTACGTCCATTAAGGCGGTTGATGTACTACGTGCCTTTCTGAACCCGGATTGAAAGACAGGTAATATATTATTACACTCTAAAAACTCTAAAGCTGAAAGTTGCATACACACGATTTTCTCCAGTACTTTAGATAAACATGGTAGAATACTAATAGGCCGTAAGTCCTTTATATCTGACACATTATTTTTTTTGGGCAGAGGTTTAACTATGGCTGTTTTCCAGGTGTCGGAAAGAGTACATGTACGAAGTGATGCGTTTATAATAGCTGTAATAGCTTTGAGTGTACGTGGAAGTGTCAGTAGCAACATTTCAAGAGAAATTCCATCGCTGCCCAGCGTCACGTCATGCTCTTGCATTGCCACTATAAATTCGTCATGTCTTGTTCCAAGTGAACCTGGGTTAAGAAAGCCAACCTTAACTTTATGTTTTCTCGCGCCCGTGCTAAGAAAAGCTGTTTGTAGCAACAGTATGTTTATATAAAAAAAGAATTATATAGACAGCCGCGAATAACACCACTGTTATATGCAAAGCATTATGAAACAATTTATTTGAGCAACGGTAAAGATCATTAAATCCTAGATTATTAATAATTAAATTGTTTAGCAAAAATATAATAAAAAGCATGCAATGGAATATGGTATATAAATATATATTATATACAGAAACATACATCATAATTAAATATAACGAATAACAAATATTTATCAAGTTAATAATAATAAATATAGCACCTTCTTCATTAATAAATATATAACATATTTGCACCGCATCACATAGCAGGAACCCTGCGATAAATATTAAGATAATAAGCATGAGAATATGTTGCGGCAATAAGCAATCAGGCGTAGAGAAATAATTGAAATATAGTACATAATACCGATACAATTCATTATAAATTGTTCTAGAATAATATAAGTTTTTAAAGCACACTAAAAATATTAAATATTTATGAGAAAAAGGTTTTAATTTTATTTTTACAGTATCTATTTTAAACCAACAGCACTTTCGCCAAAAACCTTCGTGATGTCAACGTCGCAACGAATACGATGTGCCTCAGTATCATGTCGACGTCTAACTTAAATACGACCATCCCGCGTCCATACATATTTCCAGCCATGGTTAGAGGTCTCTTGGCGGACTTTATAAAAAAGCTGACGGTTTGTGCGTGACAGGCGTTCATTGACATAAAATTTTTTTGGCGGGCCGGGCTGATCGAAGCCAGCACTATCGACGCCTCGACGCACTCTTGCACTCCGCAGTAGTTGATCACGCAACGAACGCCGCATCAATCGCACCACTAACGGCCGCGGTTTAGCTATACCCTCTCCATCGACAAGGTTGCGTGGCGGTCCCACACGCTCCGCGCTAACAATATCCTCCTCAGATAACTTCACAGCCAGTTTTTCAGCTACAAGAATTGCGAGGTGTGTCGGATTTTCGCCCTTTACTTCTGGGAGACAGGAGATTTCTACATCCATAAGAAGTTGTTCTTGATCACGGTCATTTAGCTCCATTTTAAAACATTCCATCATTTCACTAATTTCATTCGTGCTGTTTGAAGGTGGTTCACAATTTTTTTGTTGCTCAAGCGCATCTAATCTGTGTTCTATGCAATCGACTCGCTTGCATAGATCGCCTACCGCCGTATAAACTTTATCAAATTTTGCGCTAAAGTTTGTAATTTCTTGAC